CCCCCCAACACATCAAAACTCCAACCATAGCAGAATTAAATCGAAGCATGTTCACGATGACGTAATCTTTATAAGAAAAAAAATCAACACTCACACACGCACACAAAAGCACACACAAACGCGCGCGCGCACACACACACGCACGCACACACTTACTTACACACACACTGACACACTTACTTACACACATACACACATACACACATACACACACACACAGGGCATGAACCTATAGTTTCCCACTTCCGTGAAGTGAAAACGTGTCTGATCCCCCCCCCCCCCTCCCCCTCAATTTCTGCTTATCTATCTTTGAATTTAATTTGTATCATTAGGGTAGATACATTTATCCATTCCCACACACACACACACCACTTGACAAACCCTACATCCGGGCACGGCCTCTACCTGTTCTATATGTATTTAGCTGTAATACTTTGGTTTATCACAGAGTGTATTCCATTTCATTGTGATAATTTGGTTTATCACAGAGCTTAATCCATTTAGCTGTGATACTTTGGTTTATCACAAAGCTTATTCCATTTAGTTGTGATAATTTGGTTTATCACAGAGTTTATTCCATTTTGTTGTGATACTTTGGTTTATCACAGAGTTAATTCCATTTAGTTTGTGATACTTTGGTTTATCACAGAGTTTATTCCATTTAGCTGTGATACTTTGGTTTATCACAGAGCTTATTCCATTTAGTTTGTGATACTTTTGTTTATCACAGAGCTTATTCCATTTAGTTTGTGATACTTTGGTTTATCACAGAGGTTATTCCATTTAGTTGTGATACTTTGGTTTATCACAGAGCTTATTCCATTTAGCTGTGATACTTTGGTTTATCACAGAGTTTACTTCATTTAGTTTGTGATACTTTTGTTTATCACAGTGCTTATTCCATTTAGTTTGTGATACTTTGGTTTATCACATAGTTTATTCCATTTAGTTTGTGATACTTTGGTTTATCACAGAGCTTATTCCATTTAGTTTGTGATACTTTGGTTTATCACATAGCTTATTCCATTTAGTTTGTGATACTTTTGTTTATCACAGAGTGTATTCATGCGCATCCTTTATAGACGATGCCCAATTAAACATTTATAAAAACAATGTATGTGTCATGACAAGTCTTTCAACAGAATTGAACTTTGTGAAAACAACATAAACCCATGTTGAATAAAACACATACAATTTGAATAAGTTTGGTCATCACGGAGTACATGGGCCTTGGATTGGTTCTTGGTAGATCTAATCTTCTGGGGCAGGACTGTACAACTCAACATGTAAGGCGTTGGTAGATCTAATGTTCTAGGGCATGACTGTACAACTCAACATGTAAGGCGTTGGTAGATCTAATGTTCTAGGGCAGGCCTGTACAACTCAACATGTAAGGCTTTGGTAGATCTAATGTTCTAGGGCAGGCCTGTACAACTCAACATGTAAGGCTTTGGTAGATCTAATGTTCTAGGGCAGGCCTGCACAGCTCAAAATGAAAGGCGGGCCGCAATACTTTATAAAAAAACTTGTGTGGGCCGAACGAAAATAGGACAGGGGGGAGGGGGAAAGCTATAAGAACATAATAATAAAGAAGAAAAATTTGTTACTTCGAGAGGAAAGTAATGTGTCTACTCCACAGGAGTAGAGGAAAGTAATGTGTCTACTCCACAGGAGTAGAGGAAAGTAATGTGTCTACTCCACAGGAGTAGAGGAAAGTAATGTGTCTACTCCACAGGAGTAGAGGAAAGTAATGTGTCTACTCGACAGGAGTAGAGGAAAGTAATGTGTCTACTCCACAGGAGTAGAGGAAAGTAATGTGTCTACT